ACACAAGGCTTATAGTATGAACTATTGTTATACCAATAGAAATGTCGTGTACTTTGAGAGGCAATAGAAGCGGAGATATTCTAATCTAATTGTAATGTCGAGAAACCGAGTCTTTCCTAATTTGATGTCGAAGAGAGAAGATTGTAATGCAATCAGAGGCACAGTATGTGGCACTACATCGTCTCAACAATCAGTTATACAATATTCATACATTATTGCACTTTATTAAGACAGATATTATTGCCAACACTTATCGGATTCTGTGATAAATAAAAATATTAAGTTATAAATAGATTTTTGAAAGAACTTTTTTATATAAATATATCGATAAAATTATTAAATAAATAAATTCAACTGTTTATTGATTTTTGAGACAAGAATTTATAGAGAATGTGAGCATCGGGAGAAATCAAAGCGAATATAATGTTATATATAATATATTTAATAAAAGAGATGGTATGCGCTATGTTTTGTACAATTATGTCATCATTTGAAAGCAAAGCCAAATGAAAGCTATAAAAACAAAAGTGATGTCATTTTATAAGTCCAAACATGTGGTCTTCATTGCAATTTATAAGCGAATAGAGTGTCAGATATCAGGGATAAACATAACAGGCATTGAAGACATTGTTGTATAACACCATTGGATGAGAGACTGGAGATTGGAGTACACATTATGTTATATAAGAGTATTAAACATTTGACTTACATTTAGTTGAGAGAGAGTGAGTGAGAGAGAGAGAGAGAGAGAAATTATCAATGTCCTTTATCCTTTTCCCCAAATATAAATCCTTTTTAAAAATAACCTCAAATATCAATGTGTTTCCAATCTGTTGAATGAATGGTGAGCTCTAATCCTTAGTTTATATTAAACTTTTCGTATCAGTAATGAAATGGTGAGACCAGTGAACCAACAGTTTCAATGAATACAGAGTACTTGAGTTTATATACAGTGCGAAAGCTATATTTCTTTATTGAATAGTTTTTGACTACGTTAGTACACAACTTCGCTAATCAAACTTTTCACTTACGGAAACTCGATTATAAACACGGTTGTGAAGTATAAAATATTTAATACTAAGTGACGACAAATACGCTCCTCTATTCACGTCTACTATCACTTTAGGCTATTTTCAGTTTAAGTTATCGTTACTTTATTTCATTCAATTTTCTACATAAATATCATCAAATGCATAAAATTACTCAATCCATACAAAACTCTTTCTAAATACTGTATTAGCACTATATTTATATGATCAGTTATATCTAACAATGCACTCAATTTCATTTATTTCCATTCAATGCACACCAATTTAATATTATTTAACTGTCAATTTTTTTTGTATTTATTTACTACATAACTTTAATATTTGTATATCTATTTCAATATTTTCACAAATTATAATAATAAGTTTATGTCAATTTTTATTTAAATTTATTTAAGAAGTAAAATTAACCATTAAATTTTAATACAGTATAACAAAGCTTTTACTTTTTGAGGTTGTATGTAGTTCAATTTAATCTGATAATATATCATATAGCATATTATGTTTTATGAATAATAATAAATAAATATTTTAAGAATTGTCAAATTTTTTATATTCCTTGTGACAGAATCTAAAAATATTTATTATTATTCAAATGCTATTATTATGACGTTATAAGTCTTTAAAATATCTTTCGATATAAAGAAATAACTTATCAAAAACTGATGCAATCATGTGTTGAAGCGATTAGTTTGAAAAGTGAATGCCTTTGAGCTAATATTTGTGCCAACACTTCATATTTTATAAATTATGATTCAAACGACAAATACGCTCCTCTATTCACGTCTACTATCACTTTAGGCTATTTTCAGTTTAAGTTATCGTTACTTTATTTCATTCAATTTTCTACATAAATATCATCAAATGCATCAAATTACTCAATCCATACAAAACTCTTTCTAAATACTGTATTAGCACTATATTTATATGATTATGATAAGTTATATCTAACAATGCACTCAATTTCATTTATTTCCATTCAATGCACACCAATTCAATATTATTTAACTGTCAATTTGTTTTGTATTTATTTACTACACAACTTTAATATTTGTATATCTATTTCAATATTTTCACAAATTATAATAATCAGTTTATGTCAATTTTTATTTAAATTTATTTAAGAAGTAAAATTAACCATTAAATTTTAATACAGTATAACAAAGTTTTTACTTTTTGAGGTTGTATGTAGTTCAATTTAATCTGATAATATATCATATAGCATATTAGTTTTATGAATAATAATAAATAAATATTTTAAGAATTGTCAAATTTTTTATATTCCTTGTGACAGAATCTAAAAATATTTATTATTATTCAAATGCTATTATTATGACGTTATAAGTCTTTAAAATAATATACAAATTGTTTGCAGAAGTTATTTAATTAATAGTTGATTAATGTTTTCGTGATATTTAATTCATATGAAAAGTTTGGTAAATACTGATATAAGTATTATATCATGTTGATTCATTTAGACATTAATTTGGATATGTCATTTATAAACATTTTGACCATAATATTTGCCATCACTTTATTGGTTCAATTAATCTTAAATAATATAAGTGATCATTAATTATGAAATGAAATTTTATTCACGATATCATCTATAAATTGTATACAGACTTTAATGAAAACATATTTAAAACAAACAATGTGCTTAATGATATAATTAATAAAAATAGAGAAATTAGATAACAAGTGAGACACATGTTAAGCCAATTTAGAGAGTTTGGCATCAATGGGAACGGTATCATCATATAGGGAAGGGGCCCGAAATATAATGAGAATACTTCCGATAACACAGGAAAACGTGAAAATCCAAAGAAAGAGTCGGTCCAAAACCATGGCTACGTATTTCCAGTCCTCTTCCACCTACAAAAGTAATCCTCAACTTTTCAATCGTTCAAAATTGTCATCAGATTTATAGCAAATGGAATAACACAGCAATTACTTCAGACCCCTTCCCAACACGTTCTGATCATCTCTTTCCAAAAATGTCACATTTGTCATACCAGTGCTACGAAACGCACACAAACTTCAGCTAAACAATCAATACGACCATCACTTCGAGTCTCTCTCTCTCTCTCTCTCTCTCTCTCTCTCTCTCTCAACTAAATGTAAGTCAAATGTTTAATACTCTTATATAACATAATGTGTACTCCAATCTCCAGTCTCTCATCCAATGGTGTTATACAACAATGTCTTCAATGCCTGTTATGTTTATCCCTGATATCTGACACTCTATTCGCTTATANTATATTCGCCGCAATACTCCAATTGTTCACAACATCTCTGCTCACAGACACTACTGATTGTATCGATCGCTAAACTAAATGCAAAAACGTTTTCTTCCCATTCCTTCGCTGTATTTCCACAACAGTTTGAGTGAAAAGTTGTGTTATATATGGAAAGAGTTTTCATTTTTATACAAGAAATTGATTCTGAGCTCAACACAAAAAATTGAATTTTTTTCACTTAAAAGCATTGAATCGTTAAAAATTGTAGAGCGAGTCGAATAATCTTCACATTATTTTTATAGTTATCGTATAAAAGTATTTCATTCTGTTTTACACATACAACTCTCTCTCTCTCTCTCCCTCTCTCTCTCTCTCTCTCCGCCCTCCCTGTCAAACCACTCCATATTATTGAGTTCATCATATAATATGATAGCAATTAAAATACTAAGAATATTGATTTGTAATTCAAGACATGACACAAAGCATACTTCAAGATAATTGTCGAGATTGGTGTTGTGTTGAGCCATGAAGCGGACCCCCAGAGCAGCCCTTTCCATCTCTGGGCATAACTTCCGTCTCATGGTTTCTGTCTCATCGGTTACCGATCCGGGAGGTAATGGACTGACTGGCTCTCCATCCGTCACAAATGGATCGCATTCTGTATCATAAGTAGGAAGGGATGGATTCATGCGATCCATACATTTGTCACCCCCTGTGGTGAGCAAAGTCTTCGTGGAAGAGATGTTGAGTTTGTCGGGCGGTGGCGGCGGAGGGAAGTCATTGAAAGCATTAAGTGAGTTAGAGCTGAGTCTCATGACTCCCATCATTGGTTTCTCTGGTAATCCCATATCAGAAGGAGAGCCTCTCATCTGTGGCTCATTCTTGCCGTTACTGTAGATATAGTTCCGGTCTTCTTCTGGTTCGTCTGACTCTGGTTTAGGTCTTTGCATACATAAGAGTCGCGGCAATGCTCTCAAGAAGACTGTCTTAACCCACGGCGCCATTCGGTGCGTGGCCGGCGACCGAAAATTAACATTAAGCACAGCAATGGTGACGACCACAGAGAATGTGACCAGGATCATTGTGAATAGCAAGTACTTCCCTAGCAGTGGGACCGCAAGACTCGTGGGCGGAATGATTTCGGCCAACAATAAGAAGAATACGCCCAATGATAGCATTATGGATATGGAAAGACTCACCTAATTGTACACCATTTGTGGTTAATATTCAATCATTATGTGAGCACTCATTACAAAACATACTTTCTCTCCGCTGTCTGACGGCAAGTAAAAGACCACAATTGATAGGAAGGAAATGGCCACACATGGGATGATCAGGTTTACCGTATAGAATAAAGTCTTCCTCCGAAGTGTTATGTTGAATGTGAGTGTGTGTGCTCTATCTGTAAGAATACTGAAATAGTGGTCCTTTAATAAGGGACTGTAAAACTGGATTCAATGGCATTCAACGAAGCGTTTTATTTGGGCAAACATTGGATGAAATGAGTGTAAGAGAAGAATATGAGTTTAACGATGATATGGACTCTAAGAAATTGTTGAGATAACGCAATGTTTACCATAAACACCATCACTAGTGATTCACTACTATTTCGATACACATTATATTCGCTTATTTTATTACAACAAAACTTACAGACATTTTATCATTAGATATAAGTTTGCAAACAAAAGTCATTTCATAAAGAATTGATTTTTGTTTGTTTGTTGCATTAAAATTGAAATGAAATGAATGAATGTTAATAGCAACTAGCAACTAGCAACTAGCAACTATTGTGTGGCAAAACAAATAATATTCTTATATTGTTGGCAATTAATTAGGAAAGAGTCCATAATATTGATGTAAAGATGATTTTGGAAACATAAATGGTGTGACTTTCCAAATAAAGTGTTGCGATCCAAGAGTATGTCATTAAAGGGGTTCAGCTGAAGAGCATATTTAGGCCTAATTACACAATGGATTCGCCAAAACTCAATACATTCTTAACATTTTCATGTGTTTCATGTGCTGTATATTCGCCGCAATACTCCAATTGTTCACAACATCTCTGCTCACAGACACTACTGATTGTATCGATCGCTAAACTAAATGCAAAAACGTTTTCTTCCCATTCCTTCGCTGTATTTCCACAACAGTTTGAGTGAAAAGTTGTGTTATATATGGAAAGAGTTTTCATTTTTATACAAGAAATTGATTCTGAGCTCAACACAAAAAATTGAATTTTTTTCACTTAAAAGCATTGAATCGTTAAAAATTGTAGAGCGAGTCGAATAATCTTCACATTATTTTTATAGTTATCGTATAAAAGTATATCATTCTGTTTTACACATACAACTCTCTCTCTCTCTCTCTCTCTCTCTCTCTCTCTCTCCGCCCTCCCTGTCAAACCACTCCATATTATTGAGTTCATCATATAATATGATAGCAATTAAAATACTAAGAATATTGATTTGTAATTCAAGACATGACACAAAGCATACTTCAAGATAATTGTCGAGATTGGTGTTGTGTTGAGCCATGAAGCGGACCCCCAGAGCAGCCCTTTCCATCTCTGGGCATAACTTCCGTCTCATGGTTTCTGTCTCATCGGTTACCGATCCGGGAGGTAATGGACTGACTGGCTCTCCATCCGTCACAAATGGATCGCATTCTGTATCATAAGTAGGAAGGGATGGATTCATGCGATCCATACATTTGTCACCCCCTGTGGTGAGCAAAGTCTTCGTGGAAGAGATGTTGAGTTTGTCGGGCGGTGGCGGCGGAGGGAAGTCATTGAAAGCATTAAGTGAGTTAGAGCTGAGTCTCATGACTCCCATCTTGTTTAACATCATTGGCTTCTCTGGTAATCCCATATCAGAAGGAGAGCCTCTCATCTGTGGCTCATTCTTGCCGTTACTGTAGATATAGTTCCGGTCTTCTTCTGGTTCGTCTGACTCTGGTTTAGGTCTTTGCATACATAAGAGTCGCGGCAATGCTCTCAAGAAGACTGTCTTAACCCACGGCGCCATTCGGTGCGTGGCCGGCGACCGAAAATTAACATTAAGCACAGCAATGGTGACGACCACAGAGAATGTGACCAGGATCATTGTGAATAGCAAGTACTTCCCTAGCAGTGGCACCGCAAGACTCGTGGGCGGAATGATTTCGGCCAACAATAAGAAGAATACGCCCAACGATAGCATTATGGATATGGAAAGACTCACCTAATTGTACACCATTTGTGGTTAATATTGTGGTTAATATGGTTAATATGGTTAATATTCAATCATTATGTGAGCACTCATTACAAAACATACTTTCTCTCCGCTGTCTGACGGCAAGTAAAAGACCACAATTGATAGGAAGGAAATGGCCACACATGGGATGATCAGGTTTACCGTATAGAATAAAGTCTTCCTCCGAAGTGTTATGTTGAATGTGATGTCAGGATAGGGTTCTTCACAACAGCTTTCAGTCATTTGACAAATAAAGTAAAAACACATTTTACATCATATTCTGCAATACCTATAAAATTTTTCCTTTCGTTTGGCCGGAACTGCCATAATATCCCACTCGACACTCAAATAAAAAGCCGATAAATCCATTCCCATCTCAATCTCTGGACTGTCATCAGATTGGTGTTTATGTTTTAAATCAACCTTTTTATATAATTTGTATTTTATAATAACGGATATTACATTAATACATTTAAAAGAAGAAAAATGTATTTATTTTTTAATACCGTATAGCCATCGTACCTAAATATAATATAAATACACAAATTAATATAAATGATCATCTTATTTTCCATATAAATATTATTTGCAGTAATTTTTGAAAATAATTGTGTAATTTTGTAGACTTAAGCTTAAAAATGAAAGAATCAAATGAGACTTACGTCCAGCTCCCAAACTTCATGGTACATTCTTTGGGTGCAATTTTTACAAAAATTAAATCAAATATAAGAAAATCAATTTATTTTAAATTAATTTTGTGATGTCAATATATTTGATAAATATTTTAAACTATATCTTCAAAAAGTTTAAATTTATTGTTAAATAGTTAGACTTTAAATTGGAGATATGAAAAACCTGTGATCATCAATCACTATAAAGATAAGATCTTTGTTATATAGCTAACTCAAACTATTAACAAAAGGTTCTAGATAATTTATATGACTCTTACTTTTCAAGAAAATTTATAAAACATATTAATAAATTAAAAATTATTTAGATATATATAAAATTTAATTAATTAAATTAGAAGTTTTGTATTAATATTATGCGAAATTTTATATAAGATGAATATAATTGATATGCAAAATTTAATAAAGTGTTGAATGAAAAACTTTAAATGAAATTTATAAGGACTATGAAAAGAATGTATGAATGAGACATACCCTGCTGATCAAATGGGAAGTAATTTATATCTATATTACATGAACTTTTATAAATTGCCGGTGGATTCCAAACTACTTTTCCAGACTCATGCTATCATAAAAATCAATCATTTTAGCTATAAATTAAATTTTTAAAATCTAATACTTGCTTACAATTATTGCTTTTGTCATTATTGTCACCTCATAATTGCCATCAGCACTAAATTGCAAAATATCATTATTTTATAATTTATATTTTCAGCGGCTTTAATATTATTCAAAATTAGATAATATATTAAATACTTTATCTACTAAAAGGTCAAATAAAAAATATGCAATTGAATAAATCTTATAAATTCAAATTCATGAATTCATTGATTTGTCAAATATTTATAAATCATATTATTTGTTAGCAATGAATTGCAGAATTGCACAAAAATGTAGTTTATTTGAGAAATGTTTTACAAAATCTTGTTTGACAGATATATGTACACTTATTTGATCAGTAATCATAATACTATGTATGCATATTATATCACTTTTAAAAAGCTATTGTATTTTATATCGATTCGTATACATATAAACTTATTTTGATAGTCCGAGTCTTAGTTTTATGGGACGGGTTCGCAATCTTCATAACTTTGTTTGTTTATGTTTATCAGGCAATGGTGTGACAATACAGTTATTTCAATGGTTTGCTGTGAATAAAGATATGGAAGCGATGGAAGCAATGGAAGCAGTGATGCACCGGTTTG